ATATTCCCTACAGTTGCAGGTAGCCCTCAGCAGGGCCCAAATGCAGGCCCTGCTCCCTTGCCATTTCTACCACCTTGGTATGCAGGCCAGAGTCTAGGTTACCCTGAACTCCTCTTTCTTTTATGTCCCAGCACAAGCCAGTCCTGACTACACCACATTCAAAGCAGACCCAAGATGTGACCAGGTGTAGACCTGATCTGAGCACACTGTAATGGCTAATCCTGAGTGTCATTTTGACTGTATCTGGGATTAACTGAAATGAGAGGGGCCTTGATTGGATCATTTGAACTTGGAAGACCCACCCTAAATGTGGGTGTTACCTTCTGACGGCAGCCTGTGTAAAAGGCCATGGCAGAAGGAGTTCTTGCTTTTTTGCCACTTGCCTTTTCTCACTGGTACGTTCATCTTGCTGCTGTGACCACCTTCTTCAGATTCCAACACAGACTGAAGACTAGCAGATCTCCCAGGATCTGTCAGACCTTCAGTACCAGATTGGGACTACTGAGACATTCAGACTCATGGACTAAGCAACTACTGGATTCTCAGCCTCTCCAGTGTGGTGTAGCCATGGTTGGACTACTTGGACTCTATCCTGTAAGCTAATCTAATAAATTCATATATATTCTACTAATACTGTTTCTTTAGAGAACCATGACTAATACACACAGCCTGTGCCACAGAACCCAAGGCCAGCAATATCTCCACCTTCAGGGTTCCCCCTCACCATCTCCACTTCCTGTACCCTGGGGACCATCCAAGCATGATCAGACCCAACACCCACTGACTGGTGCAGTAGCCACAGGGCTTGTGTCTTTAGCCTGCTGTTCACTATGTGGCCACCAGAGGATGCCTGTTCACACTGACCACAGGTCCTGTCCAGTTGTGCACAACCCTCTCCAGGTAAGTCCCCAATGTTCCCTGTGAGATACCTGCAGGATCTGGCCTGGCTTCCTCTCCCAGTAGCCGCCCTGCTCTTCCTCCTACATACTATGCACACGCCTACCTAAGGGACTTTGCAATTATGGTTCCTGCTTCCTTCAGCTCTCTACTTCCTTGCTCACCTTACCTAAAATTCCAAAGCATCCCTACTTCATTTTATTTTCCTCCTTAATCAGAGAACACTCTCTCTCTCTCTCTCTCTCTCTCTCTCTCTCTCTCTCTCTCTCTCTCTCTCTCCCTGTGTGTATACATATATATACATATATACATACATGATCTTTGTTGAAGTGTGGCCTTATGCAATATTTGAGAGCTGTAGTGCATAAACTATGCTAAAAAAATTCTTCACAATCCAAGCATGGTGGCACATGCCTTTAATCCCAGCACTTGGGAGGCAAAGGCAGGCAGACCTCTGAGATGGAGGCCAGCCTGGTCTACATAGTACATTCCAGGTCAGTTGGAGCTACAGGGAGACCCTGTCTTTAAAACAAATTCCTTGCCAGGCGTGGTGGCACACACCTTTAGCCCAACACTCAGGAGGCAGAGGCAGGCGGATCTCTATGAGTTCAAGGCCAGCCTGATCTACATAGCAAGTTCATGCCAGCTGGGCCTACAGGGAGACCCTGTCTCAAAAAGACTGTTAAAAAAAATTTTCTCAGTTTATCTGATATTCAAATGTAAGAAGTTATAGTGGGGTGAAGAATATCTCCTACAAATCTGTGTTCTCCCAAAGAAAAAATGGGGGGAGGCAGAGTCTGTGCAGACCAGGCTTGCCTCAAACTTGCAGCAACTGACCTACCTGTGCCCCTCAGGTATTGGGTTACAAGTGTGCACCACCATAGACTGCTCAAGAAGCTTCTAAAGTGCCAGACCTGGTGGTACACACCTTTAATTCCAGTACTGGGGAAGCAGGCAGATCTCTGTGAGATAGGGGCCAGCCTGGTCTACATAGGGAGTTCCAGGCCATCTAGGACTATAGGGAGACGCTGTCTCAAAACAAAACAAAAAGTCTAATGTTTTAATTTCAAATGCCCTCAGATTATGACTTCATTTGGAAACAGGGTCTTCTTAAGGAATAAGGCCCAGGATGAGCTTAGATCACAGTGGGTTAGAATGGGTGCTAAATTCCAAGAGTACACACACACAAATACACACATACACACACACACACACAGAGAGAGAGAGAGCCCAGAAGGATCTGAGAAGGAACAGAAGGAAGTGTCTGGCAGCTGAGCACACCCTGACAACCACAAACTGGGAGCACCAGCAGAAGAGCCCAGCCCTGCCTTTCCCATCTGGCCCAGCCCTCCAGTGCTAGGAACAGATTCCTAGTGTTTCCAGCAACCTTGTTTATGGACATTGTTATGACCAACCCTGGAAATAGGAGAACTGGGTGCCCTTTTGTTTGCTTGGAAAAGCAGAGATCCTGCGTTCTCAGCACTGTTCAACACTGTGCTTCTGCCCTATAAGAGCCATGAAGCAGCACACATACACCTGCCCCTTGCACCACTGGGCCCCAAACCTTGAACCATTCAGGAGAATAAGAAAGCACTCAGTAACTGTGGAGTAAATCCAAAGGAAGAATGAAAATGGAAAGGGTCAAGAAAGGTCATCGCTAAGGTCACCCACATAGCTAGTGAACAATGACCCTCAAGTCAGAACTGCTCTGAATCCATGTCCCCTACCCACGGTACTTTTGTTATCAAGGGCCACAGAACCTGCTTCTTTGGTCACCTCTACTGTGCCCTAGCACCTGACCAGGAAATCTCCTGCCCCACAGATAGGGGAGTACTCATATTCTTTCTGAATCTCTGTGTATTTTTAATTTTACATGCAAAATACTTTGGGGGCTGAAGAGATGGCTCAACAGTTAAGAGCGCTGGCTGCTCTTATAGAGGACCCAGGTTCAATTCCCAACACTCACATGGCAGCTAACAACCATCTGTAACTCCATAACATGGGTGCACCTACCTACCTGCAGACAATACACTCATACAAATAAAATAAAAATTTTATATATATATATAAACAAAAACCAGCCAGGCATAGTGGCACACACCTTTAATCCCAGCACTTGGGAGGCAGAGGCAGGCGGATTAGTCCAGCTGGGGCTACAGGGAGATCCTGTCTCAATAAGACAAAAAAAAAAAAAAAAACTCTACCTTTAGAGGTCACATGTGCCCCATTACAAAACTTGGAAGCAGGTGGTCAAGGGCAGGGCTGGGACTGAACCTCCTCCAACCTTGTGACCCTTCTGACCGTGAGCACTTCCCAGGCTCTCCCTAAGCCTTGCTTTCTGTCTATACTAATGGACCTGGTGGCAGTAGCCCCTAGTCTGCAGGACACGAGTGTATACAGGGCTATGAACTGTTATTATTCAAGGCAAGGCAGAGAGGGCAGCCACAGGATGGAGTGCAGGATGAATTCAGCAGGCCTGTGGAGTCCCAACCCTACCCATTCCAAGAAAGCCAGTCCTGACCGGCTGGTGGGAGGAAACCCCAACTTTGGTGGGCATCCGGCTGACCTACAGCCTTGGCTATTTCAGGTGACCTTTGACCTTTGCTGACACTGATTTATGGCTGGGCCTTGGGTCACTGAGTTTCTATCTGACCTCTGAAAGGGCTGGAGATGAAGGTCAGCCTTCATGCCAAGACACTGACCTGATATTAGCAGGTGAGGGTTAGGTTCTGAGACCTCATGACCCCTGTGACCTTGGTGCTTCCTAGGCCCTACCTGAGGCTTACTTTCTATCTGCACAAGTGAAGCAGATCAACACCCTTTTAAAAGAAACCAGGGAGTTCTCACTTGCACCTCCCAAGTGTGAGGACAAGGCTGAGGGAACCAGCTCTGAACCAGGAAGCAGCCCTCATCAGACCCCAAATTATGGACACTTTGAACCCAGACTTACAGTCTGATGCCCATGATGATAAACACTGGTAGGTTAGACACCCAATCTATAGCACTTTTGTTATAGCATCCCAGCCTGAGACAGTACTAATTCTCTTCATGGTCTCAGCAACACTGAGATCCTTAGAGATCTTCTCAGCCCAGAGCTCAACTTCACATCTTCCAGTCACTCTCTGCTGTCCAAAAAGCTGCTCAAATAACTAAGTTCCTTCTTCCTACAGCTCCCCCAACATGCACGCACACAGGCATGTACACACACATAGGTAAGTGCACAAGTTCGTACATGTACACGGCCTCCTGCATCTCAGTAGGTGGTAGTTCCATCCATCCACCTTCCACAGGCTCAGCCAGGGCTCAGGCAACCTGGCCTGGGCCTCCCTCCTGTGCCCCCACAGCTAATACCTTCTAATCACCACCAGCCACCAGTGTCTGACTACTTCTCACACTTCAACTGCTATTACTCTCTCATTATCTCTCCCTGAACAAATGTAACAAACTGAATGATAGTGTCTTTGCTCCAACAGTCAGACAATTCATTTCCTGAAAGACAGTAAGAAGAATGCTAACTCCTAAGAATTTGCTTCCTCTGCTCAGAATCTCTCTATGGCAGCCTGCTCACTGAGTCACATCAAAGCCCTCTCAGTGGCCCACAAGGGCTCAGGACTAAGACTCCATGCCTCTGTCCTCATCTCCCTGTCTGTCTCCTTCTGGCCCTGCATCTCCTCCAACTACCCTGGTGCCCTGCCCCTAAGGAAATTTACATTGTTCTTCCCTCTCTTCCCTCTGCCTTCTCAGATATCCATCTAGCCCGTGCCCTCTCCTCACTCAGGTATCAGCTCACCTGAGACTTCCTCAGGGTGCCCCTCCCCAACTATCCTATCTAATCCAGGACCCACTGTCTCCCTTTGTCCTGCTACTGGGTGCCACCGTTCTTCATGGCACTTACCCTACCAGGCATCACATTTTACATCCATTTTATTTCTCAGCTCCCCATCTGGAGTGCTGGCTCCATGAGGGTGTAGCTACATCTGTCCTGATCCCAGCAGAGTACCCAGCACTTAAAAGAGAGCCAGACTCCAAGTAGGTGTCAGTCACTATGTACTGAATAGACAGATGAGCAAATAGGCATAACAGGGCTGAAGGACCATCCTCACCTGCAGCCTGGCCAGAAGGTGGTGGTAGTGAAACAGGGTGCAGAAGTCCACATGAGCAGAGAACTCCTCCAAAGCTGCCCTCTCAGCTGGGCTGGAGTGAAACTCCTGGCACCAGGAAAGAAATCCTGGTTAGGCCTCTTTCCCCTTCCCATAAGAGGAATCCTTTCCCTGGCAACCCACACATAGGATCTGAAGTCTGGGCTTTTTAAATTTTATTTGGGTCTGAGTGCATTTGGCCAATTGTACTGAACCCAGTATAACACAGGGAAAGCAGAAGTCTTAAGGAGCCAGAGGCTGGGTGCCTGCTCTACCCCTGACGTACCATATTCACAGAATGAGTGTTGTATGCCAGATACTCTTTGCTGGCAGAACATTCCCCAGAGAAGAAACAGAGGTTGATGGAATAAGAGCCCTATTTTTTTTAGTTCCTTTTTTTTCGAGTTCATCTTTTTATTGAGCTTTTTCAACTTCATACAACAGTTCTTAATCAAATTCAGACCCCCTCCCCCTTAGAACCCTATTTTTCTGAGGGGGAAACTGAGATTCAGGAAAGACCTTTGCTAAGGGTCATGATGGGCCCATCTGACTCCACCATATAGAGGCTGTTCTTCATTATCATGGAGCATGGGCAAAGGTCTGTACTTCCCCAAGCCATAGTTTCCTCATCAGCAGAGGGTTGCAGAGAAGTGCTGATGGGGCTCTACATGCTCATATGCATGCATATGTGTATGAAGTCTAGTATAGGACTTGGTACACACAGCAAGTATTCAATAAATAATTATAACATGATCATCTTCAATAATGGCAGGTCTGACAGTGATGGTGGGCTAAAATCTCAAGCTCTAGAACAGATCAGGACTGGGGTGAAGAAAGGAACCCAAGAGGAAAAAAATGTAAGGAAGCATTCATTTTTAGAGTCAAACAAGCCTGGGTCACTACCCTTGGAAGTCTGTGACTTTCTTCTTACCTTACATGGAAAATAGGATGATGGTGGTCTCTCTTACTGGGTTGTTCTAATGATTCCATAGGTGACAAATGTTTGATATAGTGCCACAGAGTAAGAACTCAGAGTATGATAATAATTAATATATGGCTTTTGACTTTGTAGATATACATTTCATTAGGTAGTAGAAATAGTAATGATAAGGATAGTGATATCCATTTCACAGAGTGAAACCTCCCAGAGTGCCCGTTCAAGCCCCTGGAACAAGCAAGTCCCGGGTCCATTAGATATCTTAACGCTCTAGACCCAGCATTCAACTCTTTATTCACCCATTTGGGACGCTAAGGGGACGTAGAACTACAACTCCCAGGAGACGCCAAGACAGTCGAGCAAGTATACAGTTCTGTCCCCACCCACCCACCCCCAGG